CATTAAAGGGACACTATAGCTTAATGAAGTGGTACTGGTGTCTATAGCTGGTCCCTGCAGGCTTTTTAATGTAAACACACACTGTGTGCAGCACTGGCGTTAGTTCATATGGGTGGGGCATTGTGATGTCACATGGGGGGGCAGCAAATTTTTATTTTGTCTAGGGCTGCAAAAATCCTTGCACCGGCACTGATCCTGGGCAGGTGCACCAGTCTACTGGTGACCCACAGGAGGGGAGTGCACTGATTGCACTGCACTCTCCTCCTGTCCAGCCCCATCTTTACCGCAGTGCAAGTGCCCTCTGCCCCTAATTTATAGTGGCTCACACTCACAACAAGCAGTGCCTGGAGCCGTGAAGGAGCCGGTATGGCAAAGAGCTACTGATTAGCATAACATCAATATCCGTTATAAAACCAGGAAAAGGTGGGCATGGATGGTGAACTGATTTGGTGGTGCAATGGGCCACTTGACTGGTTTTGCCCCCCAGGCCTAAGGCTGCCAGCCCTCCCCTGGCTACAGGAACAGTTATAGAGGGTATAAAACTCACTACGGTCCCACCTATTCCACCTCCAGTGTCTCTGTGTGAGGCTCGGCAGAAAGTGGAACAGATCACTTCCCATGTGCCCATTAACAGCCTCTTATACAGGAAATGCCTCGCAGGAGGAGCAGGGACTGCGCTAAGTGATGCACAATGTATAACAGCTCCTGCGACTCTACAGACTGCAGAAGACATAGCACGGTACTGAGTACTTTGCAAATAAGACTTCCAGCACTGAAAGACTAAACCTGAAAATAAACCCTTTACCTTAATTTTATGTTTAGCTCCTAATAAAATCTAAACACCCCATGTAACCCAATAATAAATGTAACCCAACACTAACTATAAACTCAATAATTTTAAACAGCCATTATACTGCAACTGTAACCCCTCTCAAATTAATCATTAATCTTCTGAACACCAAGCACCCCATATACCCTGTGTCCTTAACCCCTCTCTAACTTTACCATAACCACTTCTAACATGATCTTTAACCCTGCATGTATATATGCATCTGCATACACTCACTGTATTCATAGATACACAATACATTAGAAACAGAGAAGGAACACGCACATACATGTATACATAGGCAGTTGTCGAATATAAATATATGTTTTTAGACCGGCATTATCCAGTTAATACATTCATTATAGTTTATCTGCTTTTTTGGGGGTTTGGGGAGTAGGGGTGCTTTAGAACGTTGTGCCTACAGGCATCTGACATGTAAATCTGGGTCCTGCCCATTCCTATCTCCTCAGGCATAGTAAATTTAGAACTTCCCTAATCCACCTGGGATATAATAATGGGAATTACAATCCACAACATTGAGGGGACAAAATATTAATAATAATTTATTAAATAAATTTCTAACTCATATTACTATCCTCCCTATAACTTCTAGAATGATCAGTGTTGCAAAGGCTTTACATGGTTAAGCTATTAGGGTGGTTTGTAATTAGTCTTTAGAGTTTTGTTCTGCTAACAAAACTCTCTTTGCCCCTTCCCCTCTTGCCTCCCTCCCCCCAAGGGCAGCAAATTAATGCCCTTTTTACTCTTACCTTAGTCCAGTGCAGAGGTCCTCGGTGCTCGGTCAGGCACCACTGATGTCAGCCAATAGGAAAATATGATGCACATGCCCATCTGAAATGACCGGGACACTGCACCCAGGCCACTTCAATGAGCTTGAGTGGTCTAATGGAGACTTGAAAATAAGTGCATTTTGCTTTGCAAAGGAGATTCCTGGAAAATAGAAAAATATTGCTAAAATGTACAAGAATCACATTTATTTACTCTATAATAACGATCCTACAAACATTTTGTCAATATAATTATTTATTTTGATAAAGATATACACTGTGGAAGAGTATAATTCATGCATTCAGGGAGCATGTGGTGTAACTTGTCTGTGTAGTTTTGGCTATTTTTGGCATTTTCTTCAATTTGCTCATAGCATAAATATATTGAGGGTTGTTCATGGGGTTTAAATCTGAATTGCAAACATTTTTCAGATCAGCTATCTGGAATCTTTTCAGATCAGCTATTTCAAGCTTTCAGAATTACGTTTGCTACAACTATGTTGCTAAACCAGAATGTATTTAGCTCTGTAACAAAACTCCATACTGTACTGAAACATGGTTAGATAAATATTCTTGCACAGTATACTTTATGATGCCATACAACATGTTACAGAGAAAAAAATTACAACTGGAAATTTGGTGCTATTTATATAAATAAAAGAAAGAGGAATAATGGAAATAGAACGTTATTGGTTTCATGAGTTGTATGGTCACTAGTTAGTTTGATTAAAACATACACAAATCATTGCACTTTGCATAAACCTATAAAAAGAAAAATGCAACTAAATAATATCTGTTCTTCAGATACACAATGTGTAAACACATTTTTTAGGGATGTGCATGGGCAAAAAATTTGGTTCGGTGCAGAAATTCGAGTAAGTAAAAAATAAATCTGTCTGCTTTGGCAATTCAGACCAATGGAATTCGGTTCAGTTCGGCACTTCAGAACTGCCAAATGGCATTCGGATCATTTGGGCATTCATTTTCTAACTTTACTTTAGAATACTAGTGCATTGTATGAAGGAGACTGTAAAAATAAGCAAACAGAAAAATTACACAAAGTTCTAAAATTGGAACAAACGGAAAAATTAGAATGTCTCTGAATAATTTG